CATGTCAAAACCTAAATTAAAAGTTTTCACTCGCTTTAAGAAAAAAAAAAAAAACGAATCCTTTCGTTGGCAGTCTTCCACTGATGACATGCAACAATCTTTGCATACGAAATCGGCTAGTCCCCTGCTTCCCTGCTAACTTTGTAGGAGTTCCAAAACATTTCTGGAGCAAACGATCTATTTGGGCCGACAATGCCAAGCTGGGACCTGAGCCCTGAATGAGCTAAAATTACCAAAGCAAGAAGAACGTGGCTTTGGAAGCTATTTCCCCCAAGTGTGGGGTTTCTTCTAGGCGAAGTGATAAAGAATGTTGACTCTTTCCAGATGAACAAAGTTGAATGAAACCTCAAAATCCCACTGCAGGTTTCTGTTCTGAAGAACAAATTACCACTACAGAGGTTCCTGTCCTCCCTACCTTCTCCCCGCAAGCATAAAAAATGCACGTGTCTTCCCAAAGATCGTTGAGTTCAACGTGGGCTGACTAGTGAGGGCTGTGTGCTGGGCACTGTGGCTGCAGAGACCAGGAAGGCAGGCACCTGTCTGGTAGGAAGATAGGCACATTCAGGACTAATCAAGGACACAAAATACTAAGATCCATAAGCAAGAACAAGCAAAGTTAACAGAGAGAGCTCTGAGGAGGGAGAGTCTCCCTTGGGGGCAGAGGGTGGGACAGGGAGGCAGGGTGCTCCCATCTTCTGTCCACTCCTCTATCACAGCCCTGAGCTCCCTGACTGCACACATGTCATATGTCTGCCTTCTCCACAGGAAGGGGAGCTCCCCGGGCAGAGGCCCAGTGTTGGACAATGATTAATCCACCCTGGTTCGCTCAAAGGAGTGCCTGAGGGGATGTTCTCAAACTGGCATGAAATACTTCAGGTCTAGGTAAAGTGCAAAGGGTGGGTGGAGCTGGAGAAGTAAGGTGGGGCTGGGGCCCTCTGAAGGTCCCAGGAAGAAGCTAATCTAAGGAGAGCAGTGAATTGACTAAGACTATGTTTTAGAACATTACTCTGACAGTAGCTTGGAAAACAGATTGGAGACAGGGTCATCAATTAGAGGGCTGCTGCTCTGGGTTAGATGAGTCAAGGCCAGACAGGCAAAGGCAGCGGTAGCGGTGCTGGAAATACTTAAAAGGTAAGCTGCAAAGCCACCTAGACCTGGGCCTCTCTGTGCTCCGCCAGTACCTGGCTCTATTTGTATTTAGCCCTTACATGTAGCCTTAAGACTACACACTCCCTGAGGAAGGTGTCCATTCCTTATCACTCGGGCCCCCAACAGGAACTCTACACTACAGAGCTTGAAAAGTTCACTCTGGCCTCCCCTCGATCCTGCTGTCAGTTCAACTCTGCCAGTGCGGATGTGTTGGTGCATTGTACATTCACTTCTTACATCACTGGGCCTGGCATATGGGAAGTATTAAGGGGATTTTTGACAACAGAAGGAATTTAGCACACCCAAACAATAATAACAGAGCATAGGTATCCTGTTAGAATGGCACAGAATTTCAAGACTCTGAGCCTAGAGAAACCAGTTTGGGTCCCGTAAAAACAACAACAACACAAAATTCAATCCCATGAAACCCAGTAGCAGGCTGCATTGCAGTTAGATAATGGTGAGCTCTCCAAATGGGTAGCTCTCACTTTTACAACCTGTTTGTCAAATAAATGAGAGTAAGGAGAGACCACAGTCCAAAGGTCAGCCAAGGCTTGAGTTATGTGGACTGTGCCATGGAGGATGGGTGCCCCTTTGAGATTTCCTTAGGAAAATGACAGTTGAAGGTGGAGAAGACAAGATGTGGGGCTCTGCAGGACTGAGGCTGGTAAGAGAAGAAGAGGAAGAACAGAATGGGCTTGAAAACCCAGAAACTCATCTGCCCACCGGCACCCAAACTTGCCTTGAGCTGTAAGCTTCCTGACAGTTCTTACATTTCCTTTCAGTCCTTCCCAGCATGTTCTATGGCTGATGGGAACGTCAGCTACTTTTCAGGGGAGAATGCTAAGCAGGGCTGTGGCACTGGGAGACCTGTGTTGCAGGTCTAGCTTTGCCGTTTACTAGCTGTGAAGCTGTAGGCAAGTCTCTGAGACTCAGTGTCCTCATGTATAAAAGGGAATAATAACAATCCCCACCAACAGGGTCCCAGGGGAGACAAACAGAGAAAAAGCACCGACACATAGCAAGACTTCCCACAGAGGTGGATTTGTTTGTTCTTCCTCCAACTGAAATTGCAATTTGTTGAGAAGAGGGTTTGTATACCAGGGTCTGACACACACTGAAACCATGATGTAAACCCCTACAGGCTGGACAAATGCAAAGTCCCACAGCAGTGGCTTGGACAGCTCCTGGGTACAAGAAGTACACTTAGAGACAGCTCTGGGTTGACCCGGGCAAATACTCAGTAAAGGAACACACTTCTGACCCAAAGCCAGAACGTAGCCCTGAAGCTGCCTCTGAAACCATGCCTTTGGTGCCAGAGTGAGTTCGATTACTCACGGCTACCTTGCCAACAGAAAGCCATCTCTGCCTCCCCCTTGAAGGCTCACCTACTCACCTTTGGTGCCACAACACAGTAATATTTACATCTAGGAGATGCCAGAAGATGAGCTCTTTTAGATGAAGTCACTGCAAGCGATTCTCAGAGCCATTGCATTCAAGTCAAGATGGGGTTTGAAGACACGAACCAGAGTTCTTCCAGGATAAACGAATGCTCAAACCCATCCCGGCCTTCCAATCAGGTCTGCAGCCAGGTCAGGGGCTCTAATTTAAAAATTAACCAGCTGATTGAATTCAAAATGTGGTCTAGGCAACCTCAAGTTGTTTCTTTCTCCCCCACCCCCCACTTTCTCTTCCTGAGAAAAAAGGGAAGAGAAGCGGAGAAAAGCGCTTTTCAACTCACTTTGCTCAAACTGAATCTACTCTGCCAATTTCCAGATGCTGCCTAGGTTTTTTTGTTGTTGTTGTTTTTAATAATCTCAGAGATTTATCAATATTCCAACGTGGAGGATGAATACTCTAGGGATTCAAGATACATGGTCCTCAGACCACTAACTACATATATCTTACTTATGAGGACTTTCACTGGTTTTTAAAATCAGAGTCAGAGGGGGCTGCCATCTGCCTAACAGCCTCTCTGCAGTGTCTGAAGAGCCAAGCACAGTGTTTATATTTGCTGAATGAACAAATGGATGAATGAACAATCTCTGAAGGAGGAAAACAGCCGTTACACATTACGCCACATACGTGCCACCAACTCCTTCTGACACATACCACTTGCCCTCTCCTAAGCCCTTCCAGATCTAGAAGTATATACAATGATCAAAAAGTGTGCTTTCTCTCCTTCTAGCCAAAGGCGAGCTAAAGTTACAATCTAGTTACAACTTCCTCAAACCTATACTCTTGGGGAATAATCTCCTAGTCCCTTCCCTCAGGTAATTAAAAGCAAGCAAGCAAACAAAATAAGGCCTCATCAGCTACAAGGGTTTCCCTTTTCCACATACTTACACTCACTCTCAGCTTTCTAGCCCTAGGTGTCCCAGGTGTTGTGTTCCAAGTGATTTACACCCCTGTGCCTCAGGGCTTGTCAGGGAGGTGGTGAGGAAATAGTCTGTCAAAAAGGGCCCTAGGCACTGCTCTGTGTCCAGTTCTTCCAGTCCTCAACTCCGGCAAACCCACTTCCCAGAGGCAACATGATGTGGTGGAAAGGAACTAGAGTCATGAGCCAGAGCTCTAATGTACTGCTAATTTGCCACGGGACCCTAGGCAAGTCACTTCTCTGTTTCAAGCCAAATGTGCTTCCTTATGTGCCAAATTTAAGTATGATGCATGCTGGATTAATCTTTGAGGCTAAATGTCAGAAAGCGAAGGAAGTTGGAAAAAAAACAAAAAATCTCAAAACTACAAAATACAAGCAATACCTTCATTCAGTTCCTAGTCCCTGGTGTTCGCTTCCAAATAGAGGGCAGGGTGGCTTACTCTCTCTGCCCACTCTAAGGTACACCTTCCTTACTGGCAGTAGCTAAAAGGCTGCTCCTCAAAACGGAAGTGATACTCTTCCTCGCATATCTGTACAAAAGCCTCCTAAAACTAGTGGGAAAGAAAGTCCATGGACTTTTCTTCACAAAGGAAAAGGTACTTCAATATGGCAGAAGGAACTTGGTGCAGGAGGCTGAAGGGCTGTTTTCTTGTCCTATCACCAACTGAACCTCAGTATCTTCATCTGTCAAATGGGGATGAGACCACTTGCCTTGCCTTGCCTATTTCTCAGGGCCCTGGGAAAGTAGGAATGAGAGGCTGGGTCTTAACCTAACTTGTATAAACTCTTTCCTCATCCTCAGCTCTCACTCAGGGAGCCAGCCCCCTGAGAGATTCAAAAGGGGTGTGGAGATGGAGAGATGCTGAGGGCCACTGCCTCTTTACTTCTGCCACCTAGCCAGGGGCAGGACAGGGTGACACCCAGGGCTCAGTAATCAAGGCCTCCTCATCCTATGCAGTGATGGCCCGTTTGGGGCAAGGATGTCACAGCTTCCCTCTGTGAAGAGGGCCTCCCAACTAGAAGCCTGACAATACCGGCCTTGCCTCCTCACTCCCAGGAGGTACCAAGGGCTTTAAGACAGAGAAACTTAAGGAGACCAGAGGGGCAGAGAGGGAAGGACTGGGAGAGAGGTAAAGAAAAGATGAGAGGCAGAAATGAAGCTACTAACAGGCGGAGAGAGAAAGGGAAAGTGAAGGAGCCAGGAACATAGACAGCAGCAGAAAGAGGAAGACAGACACATTTAGAGAGATGGAGACGGACTGACAGCGCGGAGTGTCTGGGAGGCGCGTAAGACAAAGGGGGCCATCCGGTATTTTTAACTGGTCTGGCCTTTTAGAGACACCCCGTCCCCCAAAGAAAAGCCTAGGGCGCAGGAGCAGGAGGCCTGAGCGAGCAGAGGCTCCCCCAGCCCTCTCCGCCCCGGCGCCCGGCCCCCTCCCTGGGTCCCACCGTCCCTGCCGGCCCCTTCGCTCACCTGCCAGCGCCAGGATCTGGGCCTTGTGGAGCAGCAGCGCGCCCCAGTCGCGGGGGGCGCGCGGGGGGCTCTCGGGCCCGGCGCCCAGCTCCTCCGGGCCCCGGTACACGGCGTACACCTTCTGGTTGTCAAAATCCAGCCGCGAGCGGGGGCTGAAGTCGCGCACGCACGACACGGGCAGCGCGTAGCAGACGTTGTCCTCCAGGAACCGCACAAAGGCATACATGGTGGGCGCCGGGGCGGGCCGGCTCGGCAGGTCAACCCGCGGGGCGGGCGCGGAGGTGGGGACCCGGCGGGGGGCGCGAGCCTCGCGGCCGGGCCGGGGGGCGGGGTGGCTCCCCGGGGCCCGGGCTTCCCCCCACTGTTATTGTTCCTGAAAGCACTGCTCTGCCAATCGGTTGCTCTCGCCTGGGCGCGGAAAAGAGAGGGAGGGGGGAGAGCGGGGCGGGGGGCGGGTGAGGGGGTTTGGAAGCGCACCGCCACTCGCAAAGTCAGACCCGAGCAATCACAGCCGGAGCGCGATTCGAGTCGGGAGAGGAAAGGACAGAGAGACTGAATTACAATAGTAATAATACTAATAACAGCAACAATAGCATTGCAGGGGAGGGGGGCAAAAAATGCATTCACAAAAAGTCGTGCTGCAAGGAGGATTATATTGCTTATATATAAACAAATTGCATTCCACTGCAACAAAACTGCATTGCAAAGGGGAGAAGAGAGCGAGAGAGGGTGAATGCAGGGCGGGGGCACAGTCTTGTTTGGATTCCTAAGTGTAAACTTGTACTTGCACGCGAGCAGAATTTTGGAGTGTTTCAGATAATTGCAGCCACTCCTCTCAGCTCTTTTCGCTTTTTCTTCATTCTTTCCTTCCATTCTCCCTTTCTCCCTCCCTGCCTCTCTCTCTCTCTCTCTCTCTTTCTTTTTTGCAAAATTGCCAGCTCCCCCTGTGGGGAGGGTCAGTCAGCTAGAAACGTTCCCCAGAGCTGCCAAACTAGTTCTGACCAGAACAGGGGCTTATCTGGGATTTCCAGTTGAACCAGCTGGCTAGGGTGACGGAGGGTTGTCAAGGGCTGCTGTCAGCCAGAGGGTGCCCCCTCTCCTGTAGTCTTCCTCCACTGGAGCACCTCTCCACGGCATACGTGCCTCTGAATTGGGACCAGTTGGAGGGAAGCAAGGACTGGAGCTGTGCTCTGAGGAAGTCAAGTGCAGGGCTAGCTGGGCTTTTCTGAGCACCTTAGGAAGTTCAGGAATGGAACTGTGGAATACCAGCCATTGCTCTGTCCCTAATACCACAGGCAGAAGAAAAGAGCCTGCAAGGGCTTGGATCCTCCCAAACAGGTCAGGGACGACAGCTGAAAGAGGCCAACCGGGCTGCAAACTCACAGGAACCCATCCGACATCAGAGGCAGTCAGCACCCTCACTGATGCCTCTTACAGGGTGGGCTTTTTTTTTTATTTTATCAAGTATGACTTCTTATGCCCCCATTTCCGGCCCTAGGCCTGACACTTGGGGGGGCCCAATGAATTTTGGGTGAAGAATAATAATAAATGAAAACCCACATTCGCCCAGCCATCCAGTCATTCATTCTTTTACTCAAGCAACCAATGCTCATTGGGTATGTACTACTCGCTAGTTGGGTATGGACTACTCTGGCTGGGTGCTACAGGTGGAGAGATGAGCAGACAGGACAAACACCTGGATTCCTTGCAGTGTCAGTCAGTGTATCAGAACTTGAGTCTCGGTTTTGGAATTCTGTGCCAAAATCAGGTGACTCAATGAGTATCACACATGTGCTGTCCTCAAAACCCTTACCATCTGGCCTGGGAGTATTAAAAAAGTATAAGTAAGTCATTATGTTATAGTGAGGAAAATGTTCTCATAGAGGAATACTTGATGGAGGTGGCAGACTCAATTAAATACTGTATTTTTATAAAAATTCATTTAAATTCTGTAAAAAAAACAAAGTAGATGCACCAAAATGTTATTTCTTAATAGTGGTGGGCAATCTTGTTTACTTTTGTGTTTTACATTTACTTCTTTACATTTACATTTATTTTCCACAATGAGGTCTTACTTTATACTCAGAAAACATTAAGCATTATTTTTTTAAAACCACTGTGCTCACATTTCAGATCAGCTACTCTAATGAAGTAGATAAGCCCAAACCCCCAAATTATTTCACAGTGATTTGGGAAGAATACTTATACAGGTGACCCTCATTAACACAGTCCTCCCAGATCCAAATGTATGGGTCAGATCAAGTTCCTGTTAAGCAAGTCCCTGGTTATTTATGTGGTGACAGCCAGCCAGACACGACCACTAGCTGTCCTGATGCAGATTTTGGTTGTACATAGCCTCACACACTTGTAGAAAAAAGCAGTACCACCCTGAGTTGTTCCAGCAGATTTACCTTCATGATTATGATTTCTTTGGACCAATCTTAAATGAGTTTTTCTTTTAAGAATACAGTCTTATGGTGGTCAATGGGAAGCAATATGTAGCAAGACTTCTTATAACTCATAAGTTAGAACATGGAGAGTTGGCCCTACTTAATGAAAATTCATGAAACTCTAAGCTCTTTGCAAATAATTCCAAGTAGCACCATGACCAATCTCCTATCCCACCTAAATGAGGGTGATCCTCAAATACATTACCAGTCTCCTCTCTTAACCACCTTCTTGTACACAGTAAACTCCAGACACATTACACTGTTTGAAATTTCCCAAGACAGCAAGTTTTACCAAGTCCCAAGCCTTTGTGCTGTTCTGCCCTCATCCTGGGAAGTTCTTCCTCCCAGAGTGCACAGTGACCTGAACTTCCCCTGACAATCAGCTCAGCTGTCATCTCCCCTGTGAAGCCTTCATCTCCCCTGTGAAGCCTTCGCCACCTACTCATACTCCACAAGCACAGGCAGTCCCTGTCGACTAGTTTGTCCCAACACCATTATCTTCCCTCATTAGAATGAGCTCTTTGAAGGAGGACAAAAAAGGCTGAGTGACCTCAGCATCCTAGGTTCCCAGCACAGGAATCAATGCTTATAAAACAAATGTATTAAACAATGACAGAGAGAGCATGAATAGCAAACCTCTTGCATGATTTTTCTGAAAGTCTGTCCTTTCTTTGCTGAGCTGGAGCTGAATACAAACACTGCCTTTCGTCTTCTCAGTGACCAAAGGATAGAAGACCAATTCTACTCCTTGGGAGACAGACACATTCACGAGCATATAAATATCTCAGGTTCAAACAAATTCCCCACCCAAGTCAATATAAATAATTCTCATAAGGGGGTAGTTCCATTTCCCAAGAACCCAGAGAAAACAAAAGGACCAACAATGATGAGGATGGCAACAGAGTAAATGCAGACTCAAACAGATTTTACAGGTAGGTGAACAGAATGGATTCTAGAGAAGGAATGGCAGGTATAGGATGCTCAAAGAGACACCCTTGGACAGCCTTGGGGCAACAGAGTTTCTGCCTCTCATGTGACTCATACAATCAGTCTTTTAACCCAGCTTCATGGAGAACCTACTAAATGCCTCCTCTGCCTGTGAAAACGGAGTCAGAGTACCTCTTTGACCCTGAGATTGTAGCCCCAGCTTTACACACACCAGCAACTCAAGCAGTGGATTCATTGATTGGCAAGCGAAGACAGTTTAAAAGTACAGATCTCAGACTTAAAGAGGCAGTTAAAATGTCAAGTTCAACCAAATCATGGTTGAATTCCCTCTTCAATGCCAAATGGTCATCTAGATATCTCTTACGCAGTTCTCATGTCAGGTAGTTTACTACCATCCCTTAACTTTTGGACACTACGAATTTTAGAAAGGTCTTCCTTACACTGAGGCAGAATCTTTCAAATTGTAGCTGCTACACTAGGTTCACCACGAAGAGTCTCATGTTAGCTCTTCAGATGTGGGAAAACTTGGGATCCTGTCTCCTTAGGGTCTTGCCTGTCTTCTACCCAGACGTCTTTAATTCCTTCACCTATTTCTCCTCATATGACTAGTTTTAGTGATGATAACTGTGCTATTTTTCCTCCAAAGCTTATTATAAATCATACATGCCAAGTGCCACATATGCATGAGCTCAATTTCACACCAAAGCCTTAAAGTGGGTGCTTTTAACCCCATTATAGAGTTGAGAAAACAGCAAAGCAGTTTGGCTCTAGGAGTCTTGGAAGGCTGTGGTCATACTTGCATTTTAGATGGTTTACTCTAGAAGCAGCAGGGGGAAAGGATGGCAGGGGAGGCAAGACTCGGGACTGGGAGGCCTGCGATGAGGCTGACTGTCCTTGCCTGCCCATCCCCTGATTCCCTCTTCCTGCAGGCCAAATGTACTTTGCTTTTCATCCAACTCACTTTAATGGAGCAGAAAATGTACACATCTGGGGCAGCTTTGCAACTGAGTCTCCATTGTGTTTTCCTGTTGAGTTTTGCAGAGCCTTGGGTTAATGTCAAGCTTCTTCAGTTTAGCCAGCTGAAGCATGTTCAGTGGCAGCAGTGGGACTTATGTTTCATATTACTGCATGGAATTCTCAATGTACTTTGCAAAACTATTTTAAGGAGACCTGGGTTCTGTGAATTTTTAAAGCAATTGGAGCGTGTCTTCACAACCTCTCTGCTAATGATTGACCACATTTTTTGATGATTTTGCCTTTTTTTCCTGTGATATTTCTTTTGTCTCTGCTTTTTTTCCCCCTCCCATAAAAGTGACTTGCTGTGCTGGGTGCTCAGGGTCACTGTCTTTTCAGGTAGATTTTTCTCTTCAGGTAGATCCCAAGGAAGGGATGTTGTTAGATAGCCAGAAGGATAGGATCTGGACCTGCTTGGAGGCCCATTGTGGACGTTATCCTGAGTTGGGTCCTGTACCCCAAAGCAGGGGCACCAACCCAGTGCACTCACGTGAACTCCTGATGATGAACTCTGGCTAAGTTTGGTTGTGGGGTTTGGGGCACGGGAAGAGTGGAGCAGTAGAGAGGGGAAGGAAGGAAAGAGAGGAGTTGCATGTTGAGTACAAGCTCAAACCTTACCCGGAGTTAAAGAGAATGCCAACTTCTCAGGTAGGTGACAGCTTGGAAGACCAAAGGAATACAGACTTCAGAATCAGATTAGGAGTTAAAATATTTTTGTAGTTACTTTGGGTAAGGTAGTTCATCTCCCTGGCTTCAGTTTTCTTACCTGTAAAGTGAGGCTATTAATGTTTATCTTCTAAGGTGCTGTAAGAATTAGGGCAGGAGATTTACTTTCCTTCCTTTCTGTATATCTGGGTCATCTGGGGAACTGAAAAAATATTCCACTCCCAGGTCCTATTCCTCAAGATCCTGATTCAGTTGGTCTGGGGATAGGGCTTGGGA